ATGTTGGGGGGACACAAACATCCCGCCCGTAACAGTGATCATAGCCATCTCTCCCTCTGAGTTGAGACACGAACAGGGGAAGAGGGCAGTAAGTAGAGACCATAGAAATTCCTCCTTCCCAATCAAGAAACAAGGCTGATGGGCAACGTGATGGCTCCATGTGACATCTTCTGCTTTTCTAATAGGGGGGTCTTTTGACCTCCATGTCCCATCTGTTAACCTGACAGCTGGTTCTTGTTCCAGTGCCTTCTGCTTAAATAAGGAGCACTTGCTTTGCAGCTGGAGGGGTAAATATTTTACCCACTGTCTTGCCTTTGGGATAAACATGCAACATGGGTGACTCTGGGTCAGAGTGCATCCTTCTCCCCCTTCCTGCTAGACGAAAAAGTGAAGAAAATCATTATGCCTCTCCCTTCCAGGCCTGTCACATGTGTGCCAAAGCTGTCTGCTTCTGGCTAAATGCAAAGTCTCACTGCAACCCGTACCTAAACACTTACTGGTGCGTTTTCTTCCCCACACCGAGCTAGTGAAGAAGGCATCTTAACAACCGCTCCCCCAAAACCAGTCACATGCTTCCATAAATAAACTAACTAAAGGTAAATAAAATTTAAAAAACATATTTTGAGTGGGTAAAATTCTTTATTTTTCCAAATCCTGGAACTATTTTCCCCCACTATTTCTCAAGACATCTCTTCCATTACTAAGCCAGAATTCTCTCCCTTGCGTTGGGCTATGTTTTTCCTCTCCGTAGCACCAATGACCATTAACATCCGATATATTTTAATTATTTTGTTTATTGTTGGTTCATAGCATCTCTACTAGAATTAAGGTGACTATATTATTCATCATCTAAACCAAGAGGTTTGGAAGAGTGAAAAAGAGCACTAATACAAATTATGCCAGGACTAAACGGAGACGTTCTTGGGGAAACACAACTGTGGTTGCCCTACCTACAAGGCAAGTTCCAGAAGCTCGGGGACTTGGGTGTGACTTCTCACACCGGTGTCTCTACTGTCTAAGACCGTAAGCACAGACACCCATGAGATGCTCCGTAAATAGGTACTGAGTCATGGTGGCTCCGAGCATGAGCTCTGAGTGGACGGCAGAGGTTCAAACTCTGGCTCCCACCCCAGTGAATTACATCATTTCCCTGCGGTGATTTCCCTGACCACCACAGGCTTCAATTTCCTCATCTGTCAGATGGCGACACCAATGGGAGTACCCACCTCGAACGGCTATGTGAGAACTAAATGAGCTCATCCACAGTGCAGTGCTGAACACGGGGCCCGCACACGGCAAGAGTGGGCACTCCAAAACGTTGGCTGCCAGCATCACTATTGGTCATTCCAAGACTGTCTGAAGAAGGTGCGTAGAGCAGATGGTTATGACACTGCCTACCCAGCCTTAACATGACAACAGTAGAAGCCTCCTGTGTCTGTAGGATGCCTGGTTGTGCCTGGCCGACCCTGAGATGGGCCCCTGGCCTGAGCCTGGCCTAGAGGAGCTCTCACTTGGGACTGAGGAGCAACTTTTTTCTAGAGATCAAAGATGTGGAGTCTGTAGTCCTCATGCAATCGACACACTTCCCATTCTACAGAGAAGGCAAGTCCACAAAAAGAAATGATAGCTGCTGAGGGCAGAGGAGGGAGCTGGGATACCTGAGGCCCTGGCTGCATCTCTGCCTCCCTGCTCACTGCTCAACCGACCCCTCTGAGGTTCTATGAGCCAGGAACCTCCTCTGTGGCCCCAGCCACTTCAACCTGCCAAATGTAAACAGAAGGGTCCTGACAAGGGCCGTGGTAGGCAGATTCAACACACGAATATACAACTGATTTAAAAAAAAAATTTAAGGGGGCTGAGGAGGAGAAGGAAAGGATGATAAATATTCACTGGTGCTCACCCTTTGCCAGGCACCATAGGGAGGAATCTGCCGGCACTACTATGTGGTGGGTACCATATTTATTCCCATTTTATGGATGAGACCGCTGAGACTCAGACACCCAAAGGAACCTTCCCAAGGCCACACAATTAGTTTACTGGGTGTCACTGCTGGCTTCCTAGCAGCCCTTCTATCTTCGGTGATTAATAGAAGCCAATCAACATATGGCACTCTCCTGGGGAATGTCAGTAGACCAGGAATGGGAGCATGTCCTACACTAGCCCAGTTTTATATTGGAGAAGAGCACTTCCATTTCATGGCTGGGGTTTTGCCTCTCCTGCTTAGGGGAACCAGCCTTAGAAGGCTAAGTTCTTTCTTCTAAGCAAAGAAGAAAGAGAAACTTCAAGAGTTCTCTTTCTCTTCAAGAGAGAAAGCTGATGTTGAAATTGGCACTGTGGTAGAGTGGTCAAATAAAATACAGGATGCCCTGTTCAGTTTGAATTATAGATAAACAATGAAAAATGTTTTGGCATAAATCTGTCCCAAATATTGCATGGGTCATACTTTTTTTTTTCTTAAGGAGGCTCCATGCCCAGCGTAGAGCCCAGCATAGGGCTTGAACACAGGACCTGAGATCATGACCTGAGCTGAGATCAAAAGGCAGATGTTTAATCGACTGAGCCACCCAGGTGCCCCAAGGTGCTAAAAAAGTTCTAATTGTCTATCTGAAATCCGAATTTCTCAAGTGTCCTATATTTTTTTTTTAAGATTTATTTATTTAAGAGAGACAGAGAGCGTGTGCATGCACACAAGCGTGGGGGCTCAGCATGGAGCCCAAACGCCAGGCTCGATCTCATGACCTTGAGATCATGACCTGAGCCGATGCTTGAGTTGGACACTTGACAGACTGCGCCCCTCTAGGCACCCCCCAGGTGTCCTGTGTTTTTATTTGCCAAATGCGGCACAATGGAGAGAAGGAGTACACACAATGGAGAAGAAGTAGGAAGCACTACCTCTGAACTTCTGGTTATGCAAGGCCATTGATTTCTTTACTGTTTAAACACTTTAGAATTACCCAACCCATCCTATCTCATGCAGCAAGTCAGAGGTTCCAACCTAGGCAGGAAGGATACAGAGCCAAAGTCACACCACCGCACAAATCCCAAAGGGACAGAAACCGAACACCATATTCAAATCTAAAAAGCCAACGCTTAGGACATTGAACTTGTTTTCTCAGAGCTATACGAATGCAGCTTGACAGACTTACTGGAATTCTTCAGATTCTCCTCAGTCAATGTAAATTTTTTATTATAAAGTCACGGAACGTGAATTCACTTAAACTGTAAAACCCCTTCATGAATACTAACAAACTCGAAAACCTCAACAAAGATGACTGTTCATAGCCACCAAAAACACAAAAACATCTAGCAATTCCAGATTAAGGAGCCCAATTTTTAGACATTCATGATAAAATTACATCCTTGTAATTTTGGTTAGAAAAAAATTAGCTCCATAGCAAAATTTGACTTTAGGTCAAACCTCGAGCATTATAAAATAATCAAATAAAATAGGAAGAGAATATAGGAATGAGCAAAACTAAATAACCAAATGGGTAACCATAGGGCTGAGTTGCACTGCAGTTTAAGGGTAAAAGTCCCGTGTGTGTGTCTGTGTCTTGGGCATACTATTTACTCAGCATCAAAAATCTCAAGGAAATGGACCCAACGAGTTTATGTTTGACGTCAGGTATATCGTCAATGAGCAAAAACAGGACATTGAGTTAGCCATTTCAGCTATGAAGAGACAAAGCGATTCCTGTATCTTTATTTGCATCTACCAGTTTTGAAGCCCTGCTCTGGGGCAGAGGCTTCTCCATAATGTGGAACACACAGCATTAACATCACCATCATCTGGGCTCCCTTCAAGCAAATAAAAAGCTGTAATTCAGGGCATGTCAGCAGAGAACAATTACGAAGTTGAGAAAAGGTCTGACAGATATATTTGGAAAACAACAACATAGATATGTATTACACAACTGGATTAAAAGAAATATGATTTATGATATTATTGAACATAATGTTATGAAAATCTTAACTATCCCCAAATTAATCTAGAAATTTAACAAAGCTTCAATCAAAATACCAATAGGTTGGTTGGTTTGTTTTGGTGGAATAAGAGAAAGGCTTGATAAAATGTTTGCAAGTTTTATCTGGAAAAAGTAACGAATAAGAAACGTGAATAGCGGGATGCCTGGGTGGCTCAGATGGTTAAGTGTCTGCCTTTGGCTCAGGTCATGATCCCAGGGTCCTGGGATCGAGTCCCACATCGGGCTCCTGGCTCAGCAAGGATCCTGCTTCTCCCTCTCCCTCTGCCTCTCTCCCTGCTCATGCTTTCTCTCTCTCTCTCTGTATCTCTGTGTCTCAAATGAATAAATAAAATCTTTAAAAAAAAAAAAAAAAGAAACATGAATAGCAAGAGCAAGGGAAGGAGACTACCCAAACATATGTCGCAAGTATTATAAAGCCAAAACCATTAGAATAATGTGGTAGAACCCCGGGACTACACAGGAAGCTCCATGGAACAGAACTGAAAGTTTAGAAACAGATCCACAAATATATAAGGATTTGTTCAATGACAGAAGTAAGTATCTAAAATCTATGGGGAAAAAATGGATTCACCTATAAACAATGTTGGCTGCCATGTAGTAGAAAAGAGCATGTGAGTTTTACTGGTGAGATGGTTTTAAAAGCCTGAAGTGGTAGAGGCTAAAAAGGAGAACAGAATCCATCCATGAACAGTACGCTGAAGAGTGATAGCCCTGAGCTCCCAACTCATGGCTCCCGACAGGATTCCCAACAAGAAAGGGAATGCTGTCAGCTGGTGTGCTGTCTTCTCCCTCATTGGACCTCACTGGGTTTCCTTCCACATCACCCCCGCACCACCAACCTCTCTTCTCAGAGAGCATTTCTCTACCACCCACTCCCCCACTCTGTAACACAAAAGGACTCTGGGAAGCTAAGAGAAGTTCTCTACACTATTTGGATTCCCTCATTCCCCCAGTCATTGTAAGGCATCAGCTTGAACAACCCAAGAGTCACTAAACTTCAGGAATAAGTCTTACCTGTTTCCTCTTTTCAGGGGGCAGTGACGGATCTCCATCCTAAAAAGAAACAAATGTTACGCTTTACTTAAAAAAAAAAATATGTGCTTAAATTTAAGGAACTGAACCAAACTCTGAACTAAATTCAGACCCTCCCACTCCTGCCCCCTGCAATCAATAGTGTGCTGAACCAAATTCAAATATACTTTCTTTTTAAGATTTTTTTTATTTGAGAGAGAGAGAGAGGGGGAGAGAGAGAGCATGAGTGGGGTGAGGAGAGGGAGAAGCAGGCTTCCTGCTGAGCCGGGAGCCTGACATGGGGCTCGATCCCAGGACCCTGGGATCATAACCTGAGCTGAAGGCAGACGCTTAATCGACTGAGCCACCCGGGTGCCCCTCAAATATACTTAAAAAAATTAGGTATAAACTGAACCAGTTATTTTGGAAAAACCTCTAAGAAATCAGTTCCACTTAGGACCAAACCTATATACTTTCTAAAACCATATGAATCAAGTAAATGCATGAATAAACTGGATTTATCAAAATTGTTTTTGAGCAGAGCCAAAACTGATATAATATTTCATTTGGTTTGAGTTGAATCCCTCTTTTAAATAGTTAGAACCAAAGGAATAATAGTGGACATGCACATGCTTGAGTTTTCTCTATGGGCCGAACAATTTGGGGGGGGGTAGGGAAGAGGGGATAGGATATGCTCAAAATAAAAGAGAATTAACTGAGAACTTGCACTCCTATCACACTTTCTGTCTTAAAAGGATTCAGTCCCCCCCACCTTTTGGTGCCACCTGAGAATAAAAAGAGCTCAGGTGAACGTATAAATGCTTAGTAAACGAGCATGCTTCTCTCCGATGCTGCCCGAATGTAAGTCAACATTATTTTGACCCGTGGAATCTTCCTATTCTATTTCTGCTCCAGGACAGTTCAATGATCCCAGCACAGACAGCTAAATGTTAGCCATCGGGTCGGCACTCAAAAACAGAGATCGTATCCGTGAGAGAAAAAAGTAGAATGCAAAATAGTCCTCTGCTGTTGGTACCCTCCATCTCAGTATGATCTATATCCTTAAAAATCTCGCCACATGAAAACCCAGAGAGAATCTAAATGCCCGGGATAAGGGAAAGGTTAAAGAAATTATGGAAATCTTACTATGCAACTGTTTTTAAAGATGAATTAAATTTGTACGCACGGCCTAGAGAGATGACCCAGACAAAGTACTGAGTGAAAGGTGAGTGCTGGAACAATGTTGACACAGTGCTGACGAACAGCACTCTGCAGCAATGGAAACGCTCTGTATCTCACTGTCCAATACAGTGGCCATCTGGGAAATCTATATCCACATAATCCCATACGGTAGCCACCGGCCACCTGCAGGGATTGGACCCATGAAATGTGCTGAGACTGAAGAACAGAGTTTTCAAGTCTACTGAATTCTAATTAATTTCAAATGAAATTTAAATAATCACATGTAGCTAGTGGCTTCTGGATTAGTGCAGATTTATAATACGAATCCTCTTTAAAAAGCCCCATACAGGGGCGCCTGGCTGGCTCAGTGGGTAGAGCATGCAACTCTTGATCTCCAGGTGGTGAGTTCTAGCCCCACCTACCCTGGGTATAGAGATTACTTAAAAAAAAGAAAAAGAAAAAAGAAACAAAACAAAACAACAACAACAAAATGATAAAAAAAGCCCCATACAAATAAATCAATAAGGAGGCATGTACAAACACGTGTGTGTGTGCATATTTCATAGGTGCTGGGGCAAGCAGTCTGGAAGCACATACACACCGGCCAGTGACTGGGGCTGGGTTGTGGAGGAAACAGGGGTGACAACTTGCACTTCTTCATTTTTCCACTTTGGAACTGTCTGAATGCAATCTTTTTTTTTTTTTTTTTTTTAAGAACTGGCATGTTAAAGTCCTCACTTTCTTTCTTTTTTTTTTTTCTTTCTAAATTTTAATTCCAGCGTAACCCACTTTCTATCTTAATGAGGGCACAAGAACGTTGCCATGACGTAACACGTACTATCAGCTCCCGGTACTTCTTCTTCAGGGACTGGTGGCGCTCTCGAAGCTGATTGGCCATGAGTTTGTACTGGTCCCTTTCTTGCTGGCATGTGTCCAGCTCCTTGGAGAGGATCAGCAAGGCTTCCTTTTTACTCTCCAGCTTTCTTTTACACACTAGGTACTGCAAAACAAACAAATCCAAGCAGCTGGTCAAAAACGTCAATAGACCTCCGTTTAACACACCCTGTGTTTCACGCATCCTGCCCGGTTGGTTTTGTTTCGTGGAGTTTTTTGTTTTTAGAGAACATATACCCAGAGACGGCGGTCAGTAAATGACTTGTGCAGTAAGCATACGATATGCAGACTGCTACGGTACCAGACATACGCCACTCACCACCGAACCAAAACCTTGGGTGTTCATGAACTTTAGCAAACTGGGATAAACGGATAAAATAATTTAACTGACATATAAGTAAAAAAGCAAAATTTTTTAAGTGACATGGATAGATAGACAGTTGGACCCAAATTTTGTTTTAAAAGGATTTATATATTCAGGTAAGATTATGTAAAATTTTATTAAAATTCAATGAAATGATACACACAGAAAGATTATTCAATACAAATTTTGTAAAAATATTAGTAACAACTCTTGGTCACGTGTTTTTTACAATTTTATTCTTTGTGCTTTTCCATGTTTTCTAAATTTTCTGGAAGAAACCCATATGGCTATCCTATAATAAAGAAATACAAAAAGTGTTATTCGAAATAACTTAATTGAACTCTAAGTCACTGCAGGAGATTTCACTTGCCCATTCAACCCAGCAGACATTTTCTCACCTGAGAATGTTTGTTCACTACCTCCACCAAGATGTGTACAACGTTCATAATTTCAACGCAGCAACCCACTACCCAGGGACCAACTCCGTTTAGCCACACTTTGATTGCCCCCAAACAGTTGGGCGTACTTAGCTGGAACTCTTCCTCAGACAGACAGGATTTCTTCGTCCCTCCTTCTCCCCATCCCCCACCCCTCTCGCTGACCATGAACCACCCTCACCTGATAATCACCCACCACATGGGCCAGGGTGAGCCTGACTGGGACTCTTTACTTTTATTGGATATACTGCCCGTCTGGGGTTATTCACGCATGTCAAATGTGGCATTAAATACCTTTTGAATTTGCCCCGTAAAAGACCAAATTCAGAGCATTCATGAAAACAATTTATAGTTTCATTATACACTCTGACATGAGCACTTTGTCATTATGGACGCTCTCACACAAAGCAGAGAGAGAATCAGCGCTCCCAAACGATTGGAGTCAATGCTTTTACTGGACAAAAAGCATTACTCATATATGGTGCTTGCTTGGAACTGACTTTGTTAAGTTCAATTTCAAATAAATGAAAGGGGAAAAAGAGTTTTGTGCATTAGCACAGTTTTTTTTTTCCTTAAAAAAAAAAAAAGTAATTACTTAGCTTCAAAAACAAAGGGGAAAGAAAAGCCATTCTGAGACAGATTTGAGTTCTAAGAGAGGACACTTCCACCTTGGGTGAATCTTATTCCTGGCAGTAATGAGGTTGGAATCCTGCCTTAAAATGTCCTGGATTTTTAAGACTTTGACATGTCTTCATGGAGGGAAAATGGTTCTGTTGCCACTGTGATTTCTCAGGAGTAAAATCCCCACCGAGTAAATATCAGAGGAGAGAGGCTCAAAAACCTAAACTGCAATGTCCTAAGGGAGGTATTGAGATTACACAGGAAAAAATCCCATTTACACAGAATTTAACAGATCTGCCCTTGCGCCTTCGGTTCTTTGCCCGCGATCAGCAGCCTCGGTTGTCAGTGCTGTTGATATTGGTAGCATAAAAATGGCCACCCTTGTCCCTTCGATTTATCAGATCCAACTCTGAGGCCCCAAAGATACTGTCTTCCAACTGTGGGGAAGAAACTTCCAATTGCATGGAGACATTGTAAAGTGCCATAGACGAGATTAGCTGTAACATCCGGTCTCCTGAAGGGGAACAGGTAGGGGCCACCTTAACGGCAAAGTGGCAATTCAGGTTCCCTGAACTTGACCTGCTGTCTGTTAGGATCCAAGAGAGAAGCTGTTTATCTCCCAAGGCCTGGTTCAAAGAGGGCCTTGGAAGCTGGGAAGGGCAGTGATAGGACTTCCTTCCCTTGGGTCCAAAGTACCTGGCAGAAAACAGGCACAGAGGCCTCTGTGAAGACATTGACCCGGGATCTGCTGAGCAGCATCACTGCAGTTGGATCCCCTTCAGGGCACGGAAAACAGGACAATCGTACCCGCCCCACGGGGTCAGAAAACAAACACCTTCCGTACAGAACCTAAAGCCAACAGCAGCAAAAAGGCGGTCTTGAGGAACCCACAGCTCGACTGCTCTTCCTCCTGCTTACTGTGGTCTAGAACAGCAAACGGCAAAAATTGCCCTCCGTGCCATTTATTTTTATCAAGAAAACGAATCTCAGGCTGAAGCCTCATTTCTGAAGCAGCTCAAAGTGGTGCTGCCCTGAAGATGGGACGGCTCCCCCAGAGCCCCCTGACCCTGGTGTGGCAGCATCAAGAAGGAAGGCCAGAAAACACTGCTCTGTGTGCCCCCCACCGGGGTGGGGGGAGGTGCTCGTGAAAATGCGGATGCCCGGTCCTGAGTCTCCGGTACCGGCTCAGGAACCTGCATTGTTAGCCCCTGGCACAGGGGGTTCTTACTCCGGCCACACTCTGAAAACCCAGGCTCTAGGGGCCTCCAGCTTCATGCTGCCTCGAGAGTTAGAACCCTAACTGCAATAGTTAGAGAGCCCGGCAGGGGCCCGTGGGTCCAGGCGCAAGGCATGGTCCCGGGACCGTTCTGGGGCTATCTGTGCCACTTTTTGCAGCCCAGAGGGGTTCTGAACAAGTACACGCATGGGCTCCGTTTTCCTGCACCCGGCCAAAGAGCCTACATCTTTTGTCAAAATAACAAGAGAAAACTCTGGGAGGGGTGTGCGTGTGTGTGTGTGTGTGTGTGTGTGTGTGTGTGTGTGTGTATGGAGGTGATGAGGGATCAGAAGGCAAGCTGAGGACAAAGCAGAAGCTGACACCCCACAACCCCCCCATGGGATATATGTGACATGCCTCATGCACTCCTGGCTGCCCTAAATAGTTAAGAGTTAAGGTCTTATAGAGATCACAATCCTACAAGACAGGAGTCTCCCTCAGTTTACACAAGTCTTAGCAATTTACAAGAACAAAGCATTTCTATCAATGGTCTTCCAGAAGGGAATGTAAATACAATTAAATGTCATATAATCTATAACCCATTGACAGATACTTGAAGCGGGCAAAGTATAATGTTCCTTCAGAAGCTCCCAACTATCTTACTGTTAATGCCTTACTACAGGGGTAAACAACCTTTACCTGACAATGGCAAGGCCTCCGGTATCCTTTAACATATGAAACTTCTTTCTCGAAGCCTCCCTTTCTCCTCACCTCCCCCAACCCCATAGTATCTAATCAGCCACCCCCCACAACTCCGGGGCAGCAGCTCCTTCTGCCCACGGCTCCTGTCTCCATGCTTTAATGAATTACCATTTTGCATCAAAGACGTCTCAAGAATCCTTTCTTGGTTGTCGGCCCCGGACCTCACCCCACCAAACCTCACCTATATTCCAAAACCACATCAGAGGGGGCGATATTGGGGAATGGGAAGGAATTTCTCATACTCATTTTAAAATGGTTATAGTTCAGTCCACGTGGTGGCAGCCATTAAAATGACCCATTTCCTAGCCCTCCAATTGGAAACAAAACAACAGTAGAACTGGAAGGAAAGGAAAAGGTCCTGAAGAGCCTCCTTGTTGGCAGCTCTGAACAACGGGCAAGTGCACCGATCCAGCCCCAGCTTCGGGAGGGACCAAAAATAAAACAGAAAGCTGGACCAACCAAGTTACTGTGCTTGAGACATTTCAGCTCCTAAAGGAGGATGGGGTAAGTGTAGAGGATGGAGGAGGTGGACAGCAGAAAACCAGCAGGCAGAGCCAGGAGGCCTCCATCCAGAAGTAGGTCTCGCGAGGAGCTAATCATGAACGGCGGGGGCCCTGGAAAAGCCACAGAACAGAACACACACACTGCCTGGAAATGAGAGGAAGGTGCCCTGTAACTTGAGGAACCCATAATTTTAACACCACAATCCAGTATCACTGGGGGTAAAGGGTGTCCGGGAAAACACGGTGGCGGGCGCGGAGAGGCGGGTAGGGGGCTCCCGTCCAGGAGGTAGGACTTACTTCAAGCATCCAGAAATCGCTTCCCTTGCCTTTTCTAGGACAGAACTGGCTCAACGGTTTCCAAAGATCATCCATGACCATGGCAGTTCCAGAATCTCTTTATGGCAGGGGCTATCGGACGCCACCTGGCTGCAATGGGTGCTGACCTGAAGCTGTGTTTGCAATTACAATTTACGGCAGAATGAGAAAAGGCTAATGCCTATGTGGTTGACATGAATGTCTCTCTAATATTTCCAGCTCTCCTTTCCTTCCAGGCCCATGGCAGGACTATCCCTCCCCATGCTTTGGCGTAAGGTAGAGCCATGTAACTTGCCTTATCCCATAAAATGGGCCTGGCAGGGACAGGAGGTTCTCCCAGGGCGAAAGCACTTAAAGGTCAAGGTGAGAGTCGCCACGCCTTCTCCTCCCCGGCTGCAACAGGTGTGGAAGCAGGTGGGGCCACGAGAACGAAACGGCCTGGAGTGTAGTGCCAACACAGCACACGACTTGCCCTGGAGAGTCATTTGGGTCCACAGAGAAAGTGACATGATCCAGAAGTAAAATTCCGTGGTGTTAAGGTACGGAGATTTGGGGTAAGTGTTTGTTACCAGAGCCTAACTTAGCCCGTCCTGACTCCCGCAGTCCATATCAAAGAATGCGAGTGTAGGGAGACCGGTGGAGAGGATATTTGCCCCTGCTCTGTGTTTCTGCCAAGCCACTACAAAGATGAAGATCCATTATTCTTATTATTATCATGATTAACCAAAAACAAAGTTTTTGCGACAAATGCTTTCCGCGTATGGGTGCCTTCAATCCTCCCAGCAACACCGTGAGGTCACTCTGCTATCACTGTGTACGGTGTGGAAGGGTTTATGTAATGTGCCAAGGGGCGGGCAGAGTCAGAATTTGAACCCACATCTCTGTAGA